TCTTTCAACTAATGTTTATTCAACACCAATTCTGTACTAGGCTTTGGGCTGAGGTACCCAGAACACAATCAATCATAAGCTAAGGTCATGATCCTCTCTTCTTGGGGCTTACAGTCTAATGGGATGGACAGACAGAAATCAGAGCACAGGTAGATATCCTCTCATAGTTCTGGAGGCTGGAAGTCCAAGATCAAGGTGACAGCTGGGTGGTTTCTTCTGAGGCCTTGCTCCTTGGTTGACAGACATCTGCTTGCTCACTTCACATGGCCTTTCCTCTGGGTCCAAATCAACTCTTCTTATAAAGACATCAGGTAGACAGCCACTCAGCTTCTCCGAAGTCATGCGCTCACGGCCTCAGTTTCCCTCATCTTTCCACTGACTAATCTCTTCATATCTGGCTTTGATCATTCTTGGGACAAGGGAGTGTCAAAATTAAGAGATTCCCTTGATGGTGGCTCCTGAACTTTCCCCCACTGAATTGGAATCAATTAACAATATATCTATCAGTTTATTTCTCTATTCTTTTATATTGATTTCTATGTCTAACTTTATATCATAGTTTTATTTTTAAAGGGTCTGATAGAATGAGGAGCTTTGTACAAGACCAAACACATAAGTTAAAAACCAGGATGGAATTTAACTATTGCAAATAACCATTTTAAACTCATTGCAAGTCAGCAAAAAGGGAAATAATAAGTAGTAGTGTGGATATTGATGCTGGGGAAAACACATCCATGGGGGTCCATTAGCCTGCCTGTGGGGTCTCTGCAGAAGTGAAAAATCAGTAAGATTCAGGAAGGTAAAGCTGGTTCATCATGTAGCAGCCATGACTTTGAACAAATTGCTCCAAACCTATAGGTTCCCCTGTAAAATGGGGATAATAATAATACTAACTTCAAAACAGCATTGGGGGGATTAAATGAGATGATGTTTCTGAAGTACAATTATGCACTGTGTAACAATGTTTCAAAGACAGATTGCATATACAATGATCCTCTAAGATTATAACAGATTTACAGCCTAGGTGAGTAATAGGTTACACTATGTATGTGTACTTGCACTATGTGATAGTCACACAATGACAAAAATCATCTTAATATACATTTCTCAGAACATTTCTCAGAACAATGCATGGCTGTTTTTAATGAAGCATCTGGGTCATAGCAGATGCTCAAGAGACTAGCTATTTATACCTCCAGGCAGCATAACAGCCTTCCTTCCTGGAGCTGACCCCAGAGTTTCCCCATGGTGGAAAGGGCGGCCCTCTTAAATGGAGCCATCCCACTCCCAGTTATAGCTGCTTTCTTGCTTCTTTATTCTCCTGGGGCTGGGCTGTGACCTATAAGAAGGCTCACTTGTGACTCTCCTGAGCTGGAAGAGGACCTTCTTCAGAGCAGGGAGAGGACTGCCCATTCAGAGCTGTGGCCTGGATACCACCCTACAAGGATGTCTGCAGGGCCCACTGCTAGCCTGCCCCCCAGAGTGATGTGTAATGCACTATGTCCATTCTGAGCGTATCTGTAGGCCAGCGAGGTCAGGACTGGCTGCATTAGTCCTGAGAGGTGCTGAGGTGGTTAAACACCGATAACTGGTCATACCCTTTCTGAGTCTCTTACTGAAATACCTGGACCAAGTGTCAGGCTTGAGACTTCCATGCATATTTACTCAGAAATGGATCAAGCTGTGGTTTTTGTGGGCCTTGTGGGTATGGGTAAGGTAAAGGAGCCCCAGCTGAGTCCCTTGCCCCATGATATATCCCCTGTGCATGCCTTTACACCGCCCTTCACAGTGACGGTGTGCTATGTGGAAAGACTGCACCAAAGTGGCCTGCAATGCTGCTTGCACTGCTAACTCTGTGTAAAGCACTGTGCTGAGCACTTAAAACACGATTCTGACATCTGCTACCAGCCAAGTGTTATCATCATCCTCATTATTTACGAGGCAATTGAGGCACTGAGAGGTTAAGTGACTTTCTAGACTGTACAGTAAATTAGTGACAGCGCTGGTATTTGGTCATACTGGCTCTGGCTCTCAGTAATAGCTCATATTATGATATTAATTTTGTTATTTATTTATTCGTTTATTTATTTATCTATTTTTGGAGAGGTTTTTACTATAGGGCGCGTGTGCTCACCGGAAAGACAAAGAGAGACAGAAATCAAGAAATCACCCCCCAGGGAGGATGGCCATGTTACAATCCCTTCTCCTCCATTCTCCTCTCGGGATCTTCGGCACACAGGCACATGTGCCCGGCGAGAGTTTAAGCTATCGAGTCTGGGACTCTAATCATGATCGACTACATGGAAGTCCAGCAACATAGCCATTACGCTAACTGCTGGTCCCATTGTTAGTTAATTCTTAATTGCAGGTAACAGCCTAAAGAGGTAGTATCTAAGGCATACTGGATCCTAGACTGATGGCAATCATTGTAATATGGATTATTTGTAAATGTGAGGCACAATGGTAAGTAATTTATGTGCGATATTGATCTAATCCTCACAAATGTTCAAGGAAAAAAATGTCCTCTTCCTCATTTGGGGAGGGAGACACGGTTCCACAGGAAGGTGAATGAGCTCAAGTGTATAGCTACAAAAGGATAAATTGGATATTTGAACCAGAAAATAGTAGTGATTTTTTTCTGAAAGAATAAAGGAGTAACTTGTCTAAGATCTCAGGACAATGAATTCTAATGTGTGATGTTGCTGGGGGTGGGGGGTCACTTCCTTCTCTCAGTTTCCTCAGTGGTAAAGTGAGGGACTATTGTTGAATCATGTTTAAATTTAGGAAGCTTTTTCATGGATTTGGTGAAAATAGAACTTCAGTATCAGTCATACCTGAGTTCAAATCTCAATGCACCACTTAATGGTGTTCCTGGGCAAGACATTAAACCTCTCTGAGTTCAGTCTCTGCAGCTAGTAAATGAGAAAGCCCCACCTCTAAAGCTCTTAAGAAAAATTGTGGCTGAAGCCCCTAGCTCAGTGCCAAACACAGAGCAGGCAATCAGCAAGGACAGCACTCCTTCCCTTCCAAGGCCCCTCCTACTCTGTTTCTAAGAGCCAACCTAGTAATTAATCATCTGGCAAAGCCTATGAAACTGGACCCAAAGTGGCAAAACTTGTGTGGTATTTGGCAAGGGCAAGGGACATGCCTCCCCCTGAGCTGGTGTGTTCGGGACAAGAGCGGCTGCTGTGATTTGGGGCAGATTAAGAGATTGTCCTAAAGGATGAGCACTCACCTCTCAGAAGGCTGTGTGAGGTCAGGAACACCTAGGCTAGTGGATATGGGAGGGAAACTGTGGTATCACTTCAGAAGACAGGAAATCAATGAACTTTGGTGGCCATAACAAAATTATAAAAAAAAACCAAAAAAACCCCAAAAAAACAAAACACACATTTCTGAAAATTTTCTTACACATAAAAATATGTTCTTATCAGATCATCAAAGTGTAGATGGGCTTTTATAACAGGAGGCTTTATTGAACAGAATCACAATATATATTTTTCCCATGTATTAACCATCAATTCTATCATAAAAATATATTACAACATTTGATATGTATTCACAAAACACAAGCCATTGTAAACAAAGCAGGCAGCATTGGCCTTGGATTCAAAAATCTTGAGTCCCATTTCAACAAAAAACAGCTACTGGCAAGTATAGTAAAGGAAAGATAATATTGCCACATTGGGAGGGCTTCTGGTAATATTTTTAAAAAATAAATAGAGCCATACTTCCATGTAATAAATTAGAAGAAAGTAAAGGTAAAGGTACAATGATAACAACCATGAGAGGATGGTAAACTTTTGCTTTATTTGTTTTACACTCAGTGTGCAGCTGTTTGTATTTACGAACATTCATCCATATGCATACGCTCATGGGTACACAGAGTCATGGGCACACACATTTATGGGTACATTCACTCCAGCACAGACGTACAGATGTCCTACCCCTTTTCCTATGAGTCTGACTTTAAGGGGTTGCAACATTGTGCAAAAGCCAGCCATTTGCAGATCACTTTATCCCCAGGAACAAAATACCTTTTATTTTTCTAAATCCAGGTTATCAAAAGTATTCTTGAAATGTGCAAATATAAAGTGCATTTTCACATGAAAAGCTAAACTAGCTGGCACTTACCTTAGGTTTTCTTAATGTGGGCTCTCTTCTGTTATCTGGCCACTCTCTGGATGTCCCAAGTTATAGATGGTGGGAATCCCTTCACTTTGCACAGGCATCAAAAAATAATGAGATCTTTGAAAACTCAAGGAATGTAAAGAATTGGACTTTGGTGCCCAAATGGTTTGACCCTTCAGGAGGTCTAGGAATAGCAATCAATTCTCCTTTCATTTAAGGGAAGTGATGGTCTTCCATTGGACACCGGACAAAGCAAAACCTCTTCGTGGGGAAATGGGTATCCTCCATGAGGAAAGATGGATAGGCATGGCTGAACTTGTCTGTTGGCATCCACTGCATATGACACCACCCAGAAGGGTAGATTCGTGGAGCTAGCTCACCAAAATGAATAGTGCACATCCAAATGGCAAAGACTTTAACTCTTTCTCCCGGATTAAGCCCAAGAATATAAAGACTGACCAATTTCAATGTCTAGAAAAACTGCTCCAAGTGCTAAAGAGGGTAAGGCAAGGCACCTTTTTGATTTGTTACTGGACTTGCAAGGCTGTTGGCGATTTGGAGTTAGCCACGTTTCCCTGGGGAAATCCTGATGGGATTGGAATGACACCAGACTCCATATACTCCAGAAGAGGTTCTATTTACATGTTTGTTGTAAAACAGGATTGTTGAGGTTCAGAATGATTTCAGTTTGCAAGGGAACTTGGCATTCCAAGATTTTTAGAGATCGGGGTTTAGTTACTATTCCTAATTCAAACATTGGTTTGGTAATAAATGAGTTGATTGCAAGGCCATTGCAATTCTGGGGGCTGGGTGTTTGGTATTTTAGCCAGGCATTACAATTGGTATGGTCTGATCTTTAGGAAACTGACCACTCAGTCAATCGCATGTCATCGTGATGGTGTCCAATGGCTGAGGCCTGGGTCTTGACGGTGATCTCTGACTCAATCACAGTGGACTTCCTGTCTCCAAATAATTAGAAACTATCGAAACATGAACTTGGAGTTCTATTAAAACATATACAACTCTTTTGTGCCAGGAAAGAAGTGTGAAACTGACTACACAGAATCACTGGGCACTGTGAGAGAGGACATAGGAAAAATTATGCATCGGTGTTCCTAAAAGCACACACATGCCCAAAGGAGCACACATTGTCTTTTGAGTCAGAAGTCAAATGATTTTAAAAGTCCTTAAATGTGGTATATGTGATGAACTGTTAAGATTGATTAGCTTCATAATATTTGACCTTTAAATGCTAGATACATATTTACATGACACACTGAATGAGCTAATTGTACAATGCCTGGAGATAGGTGTGGGCGTGATGGGAGGGGTGACAGAATTGCTAAGTAGCATGAAAAAAACTTTTGCCAAAATGGTTGTTTCTGCTGTGCAAATCCTTCCACTTGTCCCTGGGGATGAGGCAGTGCCTATCAGGACCCTGCACTGATATTAAGTGTATAACATTCCTCTACTGAAGACATACATACATCTGTTCCCACTCAGGGTATTGGCAGAGGATGTGCCCTTGCCAATGTGGCTGCTTTCCCTTCTTTTTAATTTTTTTTTTCTATAGGATGTATGTGCATGAGTAAGAGAGAGGGAGAGAGAGAGAGAAAAAAAAATGAGAGAGAAAGCAACCCCCTGGGGAGCTGACCACTCCACAATCACTTCTCCTCCATTCTCCTCTCTAGATTTTGGGCACACATGCACATAGGCCTGGCACATTCCTCAAGCTGCCAGGTCCAGGACTTGAACTGCACACTTGGTCATGTGGAATCCAGGTGCTTTAACCACCACACCACCTGGCTGGCCCCATGGCTAGTTTCTTAAGAATGAATTATGCCCTTAAAATGGATATAGATGCCTCCAAACAAGAATGCCACTTGCCTGTCTTCCTGCCTTCTTGCCTCATTTCCTTCCTTCTCTTCTCTTTCTTTTCTTTCTTCTCTTTTTGGGTAGCTAAATACATTGGGATCTTCAAAAATAAACTTGTACTTAAATTCTATTTTTCTATAAAATTTTTTGAAGTCCTTTCATATATGGATTTCCTCCACGTCTTCTCTTTCTAAAAGGTCTCATTTGATACTCCCAACTTCAAGTCTTCTGCTGGACACAGATTGTGCTCCTTCTCAGCACTCCTCTGACATCAGTTCTGGACACAGGCTAAGCTCTAACCCTGCTTAACTTCTCACCAGGCATGCTGACACTTCTGTGTCTTTCCTACTGCAAGTTCTGGTTTCAATGCCATTATTTCTGTGAAGCTTTCCAGAACGCTCCTTCTCCACGAGCCAAGTTCTGTAGCCCTCTCTGCACCCCCACAGCAACAAGCCCCATACCTCTAGGTAAGCCCTGCTCCCTTCCTTCCCACTAGCTGCAGAGCCATGTCTTGTCTCTCCTGAAGACAGCGCAGGGTCTGGCACAAAGATGTTCTCAGTAAATAAATCTCTCTCTCTCTCCCCCTCTCCGGTCAAATTAAATAAATAAATAAATAAAGTTAAATAAAATAATTCAAAAAAAAGAAAAAAAGTAAGGAAGAAAGAATGAAAGACATC